CCAGATTATCAGATTAGATAGGAAAGTAGTTTCAGGCCCAGCACTTAAATAGTTTCATATAGTCAGTAACAAGGTGAAAACAATGACAAAACAAAAAGAATTAATATATCTTCAAATATCAACAAACACCTTTAAACAGGAAGACTTGATGTCAAAACAGAATATGTTCAAGCCCCACTGAATATATAAATACTATAAATAATAATTAATCCTATAATTGAAAAGAAACAGAGAAAAATAGATTAGAACATAATAGATATAGACACTTTATTCAAAATTCAGGAAGCTCTCACTTAAAAGCCTGTGAAGGATGTAAAATTAAAATCTTAAATACTAGTTAAGAGGAGTATAATTTTATATTATTCAAACAATACTCAATTATAATATCAGTACAAAAGAATAAAATATTAACAAGGGAAAACAATACTAATAAAAAGAGAACCTACATAGAAAAATAGAGTCTTTTCAAACTTCCTTACTAAAACTTTTACAGAACTTACTCAAACAGAATTCTCTTCTATAACAAAAGGCAGTAAAGATAAAAAAATATCAACAAGAACACAAGCAAGAACCAGTGTGCAAGAAAAGATTCTCATAGTTCAATTGAGATCATGGAAGCACTAAAAACAATTTAAAAAAACTATAAAACTATGCAATTTTTAAATTTAACTGATAGCTTCATGACAAATATTAATGATAAAGTTTATATTGGCTTAGGCTAAGTCATAATTACATTAAACAATAATAGGCATACCTTTCAGGAACAAATTAAAAGACATTCATCTTTTACTAGGACTGAAATAACAGTTATCATAATAGCACCTGCTATTCTATCAGAATACAGTACAACAAATATCTATATAAACAGCCAAGCAGTTATCAATTGAATAGAAAAGACCTAAAAAGAAACTATCAGCAAAATCATAAGAAAACAAACTATAAAAACAAAGAAAACTCAAAATAAAGCTCTATAAATAAATAGTCATTCAGGGATATAATACAATGAAACAATAGGTGGCTAGCTCAAATAGATTTTTGGCAAGGCATAAAACCTGGAGAAAAAGAAATAGAAATATTATGAATAGAAAATTCAGATATAGAAATAATACCACAATGGAATAATATCTTTACTGAAGTTTCTATAAAACTTATTACACAGAAATTAATGAAAGCAGTTTATTTGATCAAATGGTACCTTCTAAATAAAAACAGATACAATTTCAATAAGAGACTATTTAAAAAATAAACTGGCAAGTAACAACAAAATATCTATAACTTACCAAGATAAGCAACTTCCACACAGACTGGGAGAACCAGAAACTGAAGAAATTCTGCCTTGGTCTTTGAAATAACACTACCAATCAAAAGTAAATTATATGTGAGGCTATCATTTATCTATATAAATAACAAATGTAACAAATGTGATGAATCAGAAACAAGCATACACTTCTTCCTTTGCCAACAAAGCAAATCAGAAACTGAAAGTTTTATGACAGATACAATCATAACATGCATACAGAATCATATAGGAGGAAAAGAGTTTAGGACTTTCACATCACACTTCCAGAATAAAAACAACTTAAAATTCAAAGAATACTTGAAAGCAAGCATCAGAGATGCCCTTTTCAAAGAATTAATACAAAAAATCAAATCATCCATTCCAGACATAACAAATGCCTAATAACAATATGCATAGAAACCAAAAATACCTTCATCAGATCTGGAAAAAAAGATGTGACACCTTTCAAGAATGGAAAGCCAGAATCAGAATTACAAGATGAAAAGAGAAACTGGCCAAATATGAAGTCAAAAAAGAAGACCCAGCTTTTACTTCAAGGGAAAAATACATAAAAGAACAGTTCACACAACTAGTAAATAGCTTTATGAACCAATGGATTACAGATTTGATAGACAACTTTTACATATTTGAAATTTCTTTTAGACTAGCCCAGCCTTGGCAAGTTAGCTCCCTACAAAGGGGTGGCAACAAGCCACAAGGTAAGTCCCCTTCAGTCGCAAGGACACTTTATTGAGTTTTATTTGGTAGTAGACAGGTAGTAAATCCTAGGATAGCCCTCTATGTAATGATACTGCATAATTTTCAAATAAAACAAGGCTGAGCCAGTGTTTTTTTACAAAAAATTCAGATTTCAAGATTATCACAAATATTTGATATGTAAAAAATGTAATAATTTTTTCTGTGAAAGTGTGAAACCCAGAGTCGCATAGTTATGTGATTTTTCACTCCGATTTTAAGCACATTTCAAATTGCGCAAATTTAATTTAAGTTTTAGGTCTCAATAAGACCCAATTCTCGAAGATGCTCTGGAATAACTATATATGGGTCTTTATAGTACCAAACATACTTCTTTCTTGGATTGATCCCGCTCTTGCTGTCTGATAAAATTATTGGGATCTCCTTTGTGAAAGAATTTGATATATCGTTTTCTTTGTATTTCGATTGCAAAACCATATTCTGGGTAAAATATATCAAGTTGAAGACCTCGAGGATGTTTAAAAGATTTAAGAAAATCAGGTTGACGTATATTAGATGGGGACCAAGATATTTAGAAATGATTTCATGACAAAATTTTTCGCGTTTGTAATATTGACATCATAGACACCAAGAATTGCTATTTCGGATATCATTAAAGGATGCACGCCAAATATGTGATTTAGCACATTTCCAGAAATATTGTTCTATGGATTTAGTATATTCTTTAGAAATACACTTACCGCCACGTAAACGAGCAGTTTGTTGCATCTCTTCCAGGTTTAATTTGAAACCACATTTTGCACATTGTGGACACCATGTATTAAGATTTTTTATACTACCAAGCGATGCATACCATATATGCGATTTATTGCACTGCCATAATAATGGAGTTATAATATTAATATATTGATTGGAAAGACTTTTTCCACCATGATCTTAAGCAATTATAATAGCATCTTTCAAGGTAAGACGAATGTTACCCGCACAATGTGGACACCATTTACCATGATCTTTCATGCGATCAAGAGATGCTGAACAAGTGTGCCCTTTTCCATAACTTTTATCTTATTTTAGTTATGTCTTATAAAAATAAATTTTTTATATTATAATATAAAGGTTTCTAAAAAGTAAAGATCCAATAGATAATATGATTAAAATATTACGTTAATATTGATAAGTTCTTTAAATATTTTTATTGAAGAGAGATCTTAAGAAATAAATTTTTGAAGAAAATTAGATAAAAATTTTTTTTGTTTTCTTGCTCCATGTATTTTTTATACAGTAAATATCTTCTTTTCTTTTTTAATCCATGCCTTTTGTAATTTCTTGTTTTCCAGTAGCTTAGTAGAATATATGATAGTAACAATCTATTGATTATGATGTGTAGATTAGAAGAATATTTATTTAAAGTTCATTGCAAAGTGAAATATTGTTTCCAGGATCAAACTTAAGATTTTTAATACATACGATGAATTAATACAATATTTAGCTGTGGCATATACCATGCTGCCCGAATAAATATATTCTTTGATATTCTTTTGGTTAATAAATGAACAATTTAGCCTAGCTGTGGATAATACAAAAAAAAAAAAAAAACTTAAAAGAAAAAAAAACAATTTATACAATAAATAAAAAGATTTATAAGAAATTAATATTATAAATTAATGATAAAATTTAATTGTTTATTATTAATCATATTTTATTGAATATATTTTTACGTACAGTATTAAATAAAAATTTATAAAAATCAATACACAAGAAATTTAAAATACAATACATAAGACTATATCGTATTAAAACGCAAAATTTAAAAATCGGATGTTTATTAAAATTAAAGTAAAAAATTAAAAAATTTTCATATGGGTGTAGAACTTGAAAGTTAATAATACAGATTTAATTAAAACTTTCGTATGTATTTTCACTGTGTAGATTATATATTATTGGTAAAATAAAAAAGTTTCGGATTTTTCGGAACCCAAATTTTCTTTCATCGAGTAAACTGGAACCCAGAAAATTTTTGATCGTAAATATTTTCAATTAATGTTTCGATCATAAACTAAATACGTATATATTATTTGTGCGTATTTTCTTTCATCGTACATATGATCGAATTGCGTAATGCAACATAAAATAGTACTGTATTTATATGATCTAAAATATTTAGAGAAATAGACAGTACAAATTAATTAAGTATAAAATTTTTTCGTGTCCTGTGGGAGTTATATTTGCGTACGTGATTTTTTTTATTGGCAGCAGTGAATAAGATTGATATTCCATGGAAGGGAAGATGAGGTGCTTAGAATGTAATTAATAAAAAAGTTCGAAATTTATTACTTTTGCTTCCCCTGCATCAATAATACCAATTATTTACGCTAGCAAGAATACAAAAATTTATAATATAATATACGAGCATTACCTGCGGATTTTGAACTCGCCGGTTTAGGTATAGGGTTGGGATCAACACTGAAATCATGAAAAAAATTGTCTGAAAAATCCCTTAAGTAATTTATTGTACGATTCGAAATTAACATGTAGTCTTTTATACTAATTCTTTTGACCTTCTTTTCATGGGAACAAGAATCGTCTTTCCTCCAACAATTAATCTATTTTTTTCATATATGATATATATATCATTAATAAAGATGTCGCGTGAATTTATTCTTTTTTGAAATAAAAAAGTATCGATTGGGTTGCATGTCATTTTGTTATTAAAGCTGAAATCAAATCATTAGATAGTTTATTCAAGTACAATGTATCTGCATCTGAGATGAGATCGGAATTTAAATTCAAAACGGTTTATATATGTTAAATAAGCTGCACGCATGTAAAAAATACGCGCATCACGTAGTAAAACAATTTCAAATATCATAATAAAACAAACAAGATATCCAAAGGGTTCGTGCACAGAATTATAGTACATAAAAAAAAATGGATTAAATCTAATAACTTTAAGAATACATAACAGTATTATTATATATTTAAAAATAAGTTTTATATCACTCAATTAATTCAATAAGCCACTGGATGAAATTAGCATAATACAAAGGTAAGTAAATGACCCTTCATTTGGCGCGCAGGCAAACATATTTAAAAACAGTTCGTGTACCTTATTATTTTCCTGATGCCCATCTCCATTGCAGGAAACCTCGCGAGTTCCATCATCCAGCTGAACATCATGACTGAAAAGTGGCTTATTTCCGGTTATAATATGAGAAAGGCTAATAATATCACCATCGGTAAAGTGACCCAAATCGTCGTACTCTTCATTAGGGCTAAAACGCCGAAGAAGCCAATTTCCACCATCCCCTCCACCCGGATTAATGGTCACTGTGGATAATCAAATGTTAAACTACAAATTAACATAAAAATAATACGAAAATGCTTAAATTAAAGTACCCTGTTGCTGATTTGATTTTGGGGTAACGTTCCCCCCACGTGTTTCTTGAGAATACAATATTCCACTTGTTGCCTGATTCTTAAATCCAATGACAGTATTAAATTTTATAGAGCTTCCATCAGTCACACTTTCACCATAAGCTCCAGTAACTGTCCAGACGTCATTCGCTAAATCTATTTTTTTATCCGTGCAGACAGCCTTTACGGGAAATTAATGTAACGTTAACGTGACGCGCTTTAATAACAGAATTGGTAAATAATATTGATGATGAAATTTTAATAGCACCATATATTGACCGGTTGCGGGAGTTTGAACTTTTTTCGTAGATAAGTATCTTCCAGTAGGTATATGGATAATAGCGACCTTTGATCCATATAAAATTGGTCTTTCAACCAATTCAATATACCACTAAGTGGAATAATTATAACATAAAATAAGCCTCAAATAAGTAAATATTTTGTGCCATTTGAATTATACCTTATTATTTTCATCACTCCCATCTCCGTTGCAAGAAACCTCTTGAGTTTGATCATCTAATAAAACATTATGACTATAAAGCATACCATTGGTTGAAACATGACGAATACTAATAGAATTTTTATTGAACAAGATTCCAGTGTCATCTGGCGAACGATATTCTCGGACAATCCAGTTATTGTCAGCATTCGCATTCGGGAAGATGGTCACTGAACATTAATAAATTATTATAAAGAAAACAATAAATATAATTTACAACGGTATATGTTTGCTATAGCTTGAATACCTTGCTGTTGATTGGATTTTAGAGTTTTTCCATAAGCAAAAGTATGAGAGTGCAGATTTTCACCCGTTGCACGATGTTTAAACCCAATGGCTGTATTTAAGGATACCAAACCTCCTATTGTTACGCTTGTATCATAAGCTCCAACGACTGTCCAAAGGTCATTTTTAAAATCCTTTACTTGGCCACCACAGACAACCTTAATGAAAGAGCTTATAGTTTAGCATTAATAAATAAAGATTGTCAAAAAAATTTTTAATATGCGTATTGCTGTCACCATGTACTGTTGATGTTGATTGGGGTATCTGACTCCGCTATTGGACAAATATTTATTGGTAGACATGTGATATAAAGCGACGGTAGATCCGTATCTAATTGGCTTGCTAATTAATTCGATGCGCCACTACAAATGGGGTCAATAAGTAAGTAAAAACTTGGATGTAAACTCGCTTTGTAATCAATACCTGACGATTTTCTTCCTGACCAGCATCATTACAAGCAACCTCTTGGGTTCCATTGTCTAACAAGACATTATGACTGTAAAGCGCTGGTTTATTGGTGGTAATATGAAGAAGATTGACGATATCGCCATGAACCAGTATTCCCGAGGCATTGTCAACAGAACTTGAACTATGAGGTTGGACAAGCCAATCATCATCGGCATTTATATCAAGGCAGATAGTTGCTACATAACGATAAGCATTTTGATAATTGAACAATCAATATGCCGTGCCTATATTAAGCATACGAATTATAATGCTGTAAAATAAGAAAAAATTATACCTTGCTGTAATCCTGATTTTGGAGTGACTTTAAAACTCTTAGCATGAGAGTGAAGATTTCCTTCGGTTTCGTTATGTTTAAATCCAATGATAGTTTTGAAAGGAAAAGTATCCCCCTCATTTACATTCGTACCATTTGCCCCAATAACCGTCCAAATTTCATTTTTTATATTCTTGAAATTTTCTCCTAGATCATCACAAGCAGCCTTTATAAACGAAGCTCACAATGTTAGCGTGATGACAACAAAGAATAATTGGATAAGTAAAGGATAAAGGTAATTACTATATATTGATTGACGTCGGGATATTTGTCTCCTTTAGTGGTAAGATATTTCCCGGTGGGCACGTGAATAAGAGCGACCTCCGATCCATATTTAATCGGAATTTTTGTAGCTGTAACTTAGAAAGATATGAGCATCCAATCTTAAAGTATACGCTAAAATGTTCCGAAACTTTTACAGTACCATTACTAGCAGTCCCACCACCTCTGCCGTCTTCAATTCCTCTACTGCTTCCGCCATCACCCGATCCCTTTCTTAAAAATTTTGAGACCAAGGCGGCAGCGGCGGCCAATACCGCCGCCGATCCAACAGCTGCAGCAGCGATCAATAAATTTGATGGCGATGTCAGAGAGGAAGTTGACGAGCTCTGATTTGTGGGCGTTGACGTTGATGTAGATGTTGATGTTCCAGTAGTTGTCATAGAGTTCGATTCAGTAGTCGAGGCTGAATTTGTTTGAGTTGTCGATGTTGATCTTGTTTGGGTAGTTGATATGGATGTGGTTTTCTCTTGAGTAAGAAGCCATATGTAGCTCTCACTTTCCGCATCGAGTAGATACACACCACTCGTTGCGCCTTGTCCGATTATAAATCCTTTTAACATATTCGATAAAAAATCAATGGTAAATAATAATTAAGACAAATGTATTTATATTATCTATATCAAACACTTACCAAATGCGACAAACATATAATCGCTTACTAGATCGGCTGTATGAAATATGAGTTCTGACGGCCAGGTACCTTGGGCAATAGGTTCTGACCAAGAAAATGGGGTCGTAGTAGTATCTAAAATTTCTATCTGCGAACTGTTTGTGGTACTTGAATTTTCGGTTGTTAAATTTCCTCCATAAATCACTATTTTCTCTTCCAATGCTGATTAAAGCGCAAGAAATTTTATTTCGGTACAGTACTGTATTTCAGCATTATGCGATTGAGGATCTACTTACTAAGAACTGCCGTGTGACCATTACGAGGATTTGGAATACTACCGCCGGCCGTCTAACAAAGACATTAAAAATTACAAAATGACATCATCATTAAAGAAAGAGAACAACAAAAGTACATACCATTACGCTCCATGAATCTGATGTCGTGTCATAAAGGTTCAACTATAAATTAACCAATGAAACCAAGTTCATTATACAATACCTTTCTAGAAACAATTACTAAAATTAAAATTCCTTAAACCTCTGAAAATGGCACCAGCGTTGAGTTTTCGTACATCCCTCCAATATATACTATTACTCCGCTAGATAGTATTGTAGCGCTGAAAGCTCTCCTGGGTGAGGGCGCGTTAACGTTTGATCCATAACTCCAAATCCAGTTGATAGTATCCAGAATTACGAGGTCATTAAAATATTTTGAGACTGGATAATCTGTAAATGAATCTGTATACCCGCCAAATATATACATCATCCCTTTAGTATCAATAACAGCGTCGGTTTCCCTCCTTCGTAATGGAGACACTCCCGAAATAGTGGGTTTGTACCACGTTCTGTTCACGGTGTTGAATGCTAAAACCAAGCTACTATTATCTGGTGACATGTGACCCCCAAATAGAACGAACTCGGTGCTATTTGCTCCTCCGGCAACTGCTGTACCCCAACTTGTATAAGTAACACCAATACTAGTGAGATCGGTCCATTGGAAATCGTTGGTTGAAGAAAGGGGGACGACTGATACATCAAGATAGAAAAAGTCCGAGACAGTGGGTTCATCCGCTTCTGATGTAACTCCTCCACAAAAATACAACCTTTCCCCTATTAATGACGATGTGTGTGCATAACGCGAAGCGGGAGTATAGCTAGCCACATGCGTTAAAATATGACAGCATATTAATATAAAGCAAAATCGATGAAAAAAAAGCGTAAATTCACTTGACATTTTGATCGTTTTCTCGGAAATGAGAGCGTTTCTCTGGAGATGAGACACGAATTTATATCAACAAATTCATGATCATTTTGAATATATTTTCAATCAAATATCCTAATCGCTATTTCCGTTTTTGCATCTAGTGTTTATTTCAAAAACGCCTCACAAGCCTCGAAAAACAAATACTCAAGAAATTGGGTCGCTCTCGTTGAACCGTTAAGTTTCTCATATGAGATAGTCCCGGTATTTCATGACCGCACCTTTTCAAGAAACTATCTTAAGTCTGTCTTGTCAGACTATTGCCTTCATTAATAATTTCATGTAAATGGAACTTCGTTTTGAAACAACTATAGTGAACTCGCTTAGTCATAAAACCGACATGTTAAAGAATTGTTTTTTAATGATTTAACATTCTGCTTGCAACTTTGTGGCTACAAACTATTTATCATAAATATTGAATATTAATAACGTGGCATAGTTTCGATTATTTTATTTGTTCTGACTGCTTGATGATCGATAAAGGATCCACTGAACCGCGAAAAATACTCTTGCACATCCAATTTCCTGGCAATCTTCTAGTCCGAAAGTCACTGGGAGAACCAAAAAGTCTGTAAATCTTTGAATCTGATACTTGAAAACTTTTCCCTCTATTTACGACGTCAATCTTCGAGGTCCGAATGAGTCTTTCGAGGCTGCAAATCGTTACCGACCGGCTCAGCCGCCCTTGCGACATATAAGCCGCGGCTTATTGTAGATGATAATTGACATTGTAACAATATGACAAATTTCGAGTAAATAATGATAATTAAAATGCAGATACGTATGCAATAACGGCTTGTAAAAATGATCATGATCATGGTTTTGCCAATGCAGTATCTTCTTTAGGTAAAATGCATTTCTTTTATACATCCTTCTTTTTACTACTATTCCTTTCCTTTCCTTTCTTTCTTTTTTTTCAAGCAATAGTCACCTTTCCGATTCCAGGATTCATAGTCGTGATAGTATCGATATCAGGTTCATTTAATAGTCCCAAATGTCCAGCGTTACCGGCCCCTACATGTAATATGCCAATACCTGTCGACCGTTCGCGTTGGAAAGCATGCAAAAATTAGCATAATATACAATTCCGGCTTTGAATACGATCTTTTATTTGACCTTTTTGTGCGTAGGAAATAACAATGTTACTCCAAACGTATTAAAAATAAAATAGTTTGAATTTCCCGCATTCAATAAAAAAGGTCTGCAATCGCTTACAATCCCATTTGGTGTTATAATGTATACTATTCTCACAGAAATATTCGGATAATAACTTTCTCCATCAATTGTTTTGTTTTGTTTTTTTTTTGGTCGTGGTTTTATAAATTGGCTGTATGAAATCTTAGATTCTGACCTAATTAAGTTCAATACGCTGTGCTTAATTTGTTAAAATAAGTCTGAGATTGAAATCAATGTATTACGTTACGTTAAAAATCAGGATAAAAGAAAACAAACTCTGATTAGGGTACCTAATTCGACTTGTTGATTAATTCAATGCGCCACTATAAAGTGAATTGAGATAGATAATTGATAAGTAAAACAATGGTGATTTTAATTTTCTTTAAAATAATACCGTACCTGACGATTTTCCTCTTGACCAGCTTTATTACAACAAACTTCTTGAGTTCCGTTATCTAACGCCACATTGTGACTATAAAGCGGTGGTTTATCGGTGGAAATGTGATAATATCTCCGTTCATCAGATTATCAGAAACATTGCTTGAACTATGGGGTTGAACAGACCAATCATCGTCGGCATTTATTTCCGTGCAAATAGTTACTAGATACGTAAATTTCATGTATATAATATATTACGTATATGAATTTGTGTTCGGTAAAACCATTTTTAAAAAAAACGTTACCTTGCTGTAATCTTGACTTTGGAGTGGATACCCAAGACTGAGGATGAGAGTGAAGATTTCCGTTTATTTCGTTATGTTTAAATCCAATAGTAGTGTTGAAAGGAATTGTGTCCCCGTTATTTACTTTCGTACCATTTGCTCCAATAACCGTCCAGGTTGCATTTTTAAAATCTCCTCCTATATTATCGCAAGCAACCTTTGTAAAGTTCATAATGTTAGCGTGAATAATAATAAGATCGTTAGACAAATAAGGATTGTATAATTACTATATATTGAAGGGAGTCGCTATATTTATCTCCTCTGGTGGTAAGATATTTTCCAGTGGGCACGTGAACAAGAGTAACTTCTGATCCATATTTAATTGGGACTTTCTTATTTGCTACATATTTTGCAAATAAGAAAGAAGACACGAACATCAATTCTTAAAGAAATAATTTACTTCGACGCCCTTGGAATTTTCACATTACCGTCACCACTACTGTCCGCAGCTACACCGGCTCCACCTCCTATGTTGCTACCTCCACCACCATCTCCTGTATCAGGAGTTTCGCCGCTTTCAACTTCTCTTTTGCTACTTCCACCATCACCTGATCCTTTTCCTAAAAATCTGAACATCAAAGCAGCAACGCCAGCCAATAACACCGCAGATGCAACAGCCGCAGCAGCAATAAATAGGTTTGATGAAGTCAATGATGATGACGAGCTTTGGTTCGTAGGAGTTGACGTGATGTCGATGTCGATGTTTCAGTAGTTGACAATGAATTCGATTCAGTAGTCGAAGTTGAACTTGTTTGAGTCGTCGACTTTGAAATGGATGTAGACCGGATTTTCTGTTGAGTAAGAAGCCATGTGTAATTTTCATTTTCCGCATCTAGTAGATATACACTACTCGATACGCCTTGTCCGATTATAAGTCCTATTTAACGAATTTAATAAACTAATAATAAATTATACCAATTGCAATTTATAGCTATTAACACATTACGTATTAAACGCTTACCGAATGCTATAACCATATAATCACCTACTAGGTCGGCCGTATGAAACGCGAGTTCTGAAGGCCAGATGCCTCGAGCTTTCGGCTCCGACCACGAAAAAGGGATCACAGTTGTATCTAAAATTTCTATCTGGGAACTATTTGTGGCACTCGAATACCCGGTCTCTAAATTTCCGCCAAAAATCACTATTTTCCCCTCCGATGCCATTAAAATGCATAAAAATTTTTTAGCCTTGCATTTTCAGTATTGCATTACAGTATGTGCTTTGGATTTACATACTAAGAATCGCGGTGTGACCATTACGAGGACTTGGAATATAACCGTCGACTGTCTAATAAAAGCGTATATAATTAAGAAAGAACACTTGCAAAAACAAAAGAAAGAAAATTTGCACATATATATTGTATATGACGTAATGTAATTTGAAATTAAAATTAAAAAAATTAAAGTTAAAAAATTAAATTAAATTAATAAATGCAAGTAGAATAATAATAAATATACGTAAATAATAATAATAATAATAATAATAATAATAAAATAATAATAATAATAATAATAATAATAATAATAATAATAATAATAAGATCGCATACCATAACACTCCATAAGTCAGACATTGTGTCGTATAAGTTCAACTATCAATTGACCAATAAAATTTAAAAGCTTATTATGCAATACTTTTCTAGAAGTAATAACTAAAAATAAAATGCTTTCAAACCTCTGAAAATGGCACCAACATTGAATTGGCGTACATCCCTCCAATATATACTATTGTTCCATTAGGCAGTATTGTGGCACTATAAGCTCTCCTGGGTGAAGGCGCATTAACGTTTGATCCATAGTTCCAAGTCCAGTTTATAGTATCTAAGATTACAAGATCATTAAAGTATTCTAAAACCGGATAATCTGTAAATGGGTCGGTGAATCCACCAAATATATACATTTTCCCTTTAGTGTCAATAACAGCATGGGTTTCCCTTCTTCGTAATGGAGGCACTCCCGAAATAGTGGGTTTGGACCATGTTCTATTCACAGTGTCGAATACTAAAACCAAGCTGCTATTATCTGGTGACATGTGACCCCCAAATAGAACAAACTTAGTATTATTTACTCCTCCAGCAACTGCCGTACTCCAACTTGTATAAGTAACACCAATATTAGTGAGATCAGTCCATTGTAAATCGTTGCTGGTTAAAGGGACGGACACGTCGAGATAGAAGAAATCCGAGACAGTGGATTCCTTTAATTTAGAGGTAACTCCCCCGCAATAATATAACCTTTTCCCTATTAAGGCCGAAGTGTGTGCATAACGCATATTCGGTGTATAGCTAACCACACGTGTTAAAAGACAACTCCACATCAATACAAAGTAAAACCGACGAAACCAAAGCGTAAACCGACTTGACATTTTAACTACGTTTTTGAAAATTAAATATTTATTTGGAGATGAGACTTGAATTTATATAATCATTCGCAATATGAATTCGATCGTATTATTTCAATAAACTCTGTTTCCGTTTTTGCATATAGTATTCGTTAAACAAATGGAATGTTGAAAAAATTCTTGTGCCTCACAAGCCTCAAGAAAACAAATTCTTGAGAAATTGGGTCATTCGTATTGACACTCATGCCAATTTTTACATCCGACTGAGCTGATGCTTTATGATCAAAAATTATTATAATTTAATACATTTCGTAAAGAAATTTTCTTGAGATAGTTTACCAAAAAATTAGTTCTTTGGCCTTGTATACGACTGCACTCAAATTTTATCTCATACAATAAGGATTGAGCACACTTTGTCGAGAAATAAACATTGATTTTCCGCCATTGTGCTTATATCGTTGGGCCACAAAATATTTATTGTAAATATTTGAATACTGATAATGTGGCATGGTTCCATTATTTACAGTATTTGTTTAATTATCAGTAAAGGATCTACATGCTGAACATGCTGAACACGAAAAATATTTACGGTACATACAGTACATGTCAGTTTTCTTATCTAAAGTCATATGAAGAGCAAAAAAATATGTAAATTTTTTTTCGAATAGGATACTCCTAACCTTCTTGTTTTATTTATGTGACTCGTTAATTTTCGAAGGTTTGGGTAATTCCAGTCAACATAGAAGCCGCGACTTATCATTGGTGACAATGAAATCATAAAGCAATGCCAAATCGATTTTCTTAAAAAAAGTGAAGCGTGTTATTGGCATAAAGCTCGATTCTTGAATGCATTTTTAAATGCATCGATAAACACTACAAGAAGAAATATTGGCTTGATGTTATTAGCTATCAAATCTAAATACTAAGATAAATATATATTTATATTTAACGGTTAATTTAACACATATTTGCATTCCTAGATTTGTTGTCCTGAAATACTGTATTTTGATACAGTATTGTGATCATTGGTGTCGGTGAGTCTGTGTGCTGTAATCGATTTGATACACAAACATTGATTAATTTGTGTAATCCAACCAGTCATCTCGTGACCGTATATTATATGTGTTTCTTTCGTCTCTTTGCTTAAGTATTTTGCCCATAATTTCGTAGTTTAGTAATAGAATTATTGAAAAAGGTTACTGGTCTATGTTAGGAATTCAGAGACCTAATGTAATGCACGTGATCGTGATATAATATTTATGTTGCTTATGTAATATCTTTTTTTTTTTTATCTAACGAAACCAATGATTTGAAGTCACGAATAATCGGAGATAAGTAAATATGTGCATAACGCTGAGCAGCATAGTTTAGGCACACGCCAAAATCTCTATATGTGAGGCATGAATTAATAGGAAACCCGTGATCAAGATCCGTGTATCAAATCGAGTACTTTAGTCACAATTTCCGTTCCGTTTTTACATCTACGTATTACCCATTAACAAATGGAATATAGAATCTGCGCCTCACAAGTCTTAAAAACAAATACTTGAGAAATCGAGTCACTCGTGTTGACACTGTCAGGCTCGAGCTATTTATTTTAGACCAAAAAAAAAAAAAAAAATGCGTTTCATACAAGCGTTCGATAACGAAACTATAGTGAACCCATTTCGTCAAAAATTTTGTCCATCATCCTATGAAATACGATATCAATATCCGCATAATGGAGTTTCGCTTTGTAACAAAGAAGACGAACCATTTGGTTGTCAAACAAGACCTTGGAGTGTTCTTCATTTAGTATTCGTTATTCCGCTGATGACGTCTGTGGCTGTAAAAACATTTATCCCAAATCATTTAAATATTAATGACATGGCAAAGTAAAATATTCATTACTCATTCGTTCAAACTGCTTAATGATTGGTGAAGATTCTACCAAACCACAAAAAATATATATACCTTCTCACCTTTAATGCGTGCGTGCAATTTTATAATATAAAGAGGGATGTTGAAATAATTATCTTTCTGAATAAGATACTCTAAAGAATAAAATAGCTTTGATCTATTTTGGCACAAATCAATTCCGACTCTTTCATCTCCGAAGTCTTATTGATCGGCTTGATCGACAGTCGACGGCTTGTCATAAATAAAGATGACGTTTAAACAATATTTATAAGTCGATGTGAACAGAATATATGATGTTTTTTAATGCCAAAATAATGATTTATAGAAAAGAAAAAGGTTATTTTATTGACAATAAAGTATGATTCGTAAATAAGTTTTCAAAATAATAACCCAAGCAAATGATCCATGTTTTAATTTTACGTATTCAAATTCCGAGAAAACAATTTGAATCTTTGAAATGCAAGAATACACCCAAAATACTTTATGATATATTATAATTACAATATTGGTCGACGTCAATTAATGATAGGCAAGACGGTTGTCTTAAATACACTGCCTTTTATTTATGATGATATTCAGATTTCGCTTGCTATCATTACTCTTTACAGGATCATACCAGTCCCAATCCGAAAAATTGATATCAGCCCAATAAACAGATTAACTGGTTTTGAGTAAGGCTACATTGGGAACTTCGGTAATTTGTCGTCGATATTTTCTAGAGGTCGCCACCACGATTTCTGATTAGGGCTGTAATTATCTTCCTTTTTTGTGATGATTATTATTTCATGAAACCGGTAATAAAAAGGCTGCGATTAGATTCCTTTTATGGAATGACCATTATTGGGTCTAATTTTGTATAGAAGCAGGTACAGTACTAGAAAAAAATTTTTTATTACATTAAATTTATAATACTCTATAGTACGGTATTTTTTTTCTATTACTTAATTTTTAGAATTGGAAAGATATTGAAGTGAATTCTACCAAGGTTTCAATTTCGACCAAAAATATTATTACGATATTTCATAACAGATCTCAAGAACATTATTGGGGATTGTATAATTTTTGAAGATTCCGGGCACTTCTACTAATTGAACCACCATTCCCATCTCAATATGCCATTCAATATGACAATGGAACAACCAGACTCCTGGGTTATTTGCGTAGTACCTAATTACCATTAAGCTGCAATGTTTTAAACCCATTGGTCAGTACTCATCAATTAATTTGCTATAAGAAACTATAAGCATCAAATTATTACCCAAGCTCTTTAACAGTTGCCGTGTCACGAAGGGGCGGATCGTCAAAATTATATTTTAAGGAATCAAGGGATTGGTTATAGCTTCCCGCTTCACCCAGAGCGATAATCCAGAACGCGTGTCCGTGCTATTTAAAAATAGAACAGAATATAAATTCACAACCAGGTTATGTTATCTTCTGTGATCTAAACTCACCAGGTGGAAGGGGTGCGTTCTATTTTCTGTATTGTTTAAAACAATCTCAACAGGTTCGTTTAATTTATTATAAGAATAAACGTTGTCAGATATCAAGAAGTCGGCACCATCAATAACCCGTTGGTTTGTAGGATAGGTAAAGTCTGGGACGAATGATGAATTGTTCATAGTCGCATCGATAACGAAATTTATCCGTTGGATAGCGACCGTAATATTAATCCTTCTGATGTCTTCACCTCGTGGTACTGGTGGATACTGTTGGTAGGGTTTTAAAAGGCTGGAATTCACATCATAGCAATTGAACTCGCTTGTATGATATCCCTCAGAAGTTGGAATGATAAAGGGTGCATCATCGTAGTGAAGAATACCGGTAATATTGTCGTTCTTAAATATTGGTGAATTGACATTGATTGTGGCATTATTGACCGGTAGGCTGCAATTGGAAAGATGTGCCCGAATCCAATAATTACCAATTGGCTGATTCGCTGATACAATTACCGAATATCGCTGAGCAATATTAATCGGAAGCATTTTGACAGTAGCCGGGTGAATTGGAATTCCATCGATTTCAATAATGGTAAGCGGATGTTCGTCAATAGAAACCCAAAACTGTGACATTGCACTCATATTAATTATTCTAAATCTATATCTCTTTCCTTTTTTGACTTTGTAGGTAGCGAATTTCGGAGGTACACAAGTCGGAATTGTACAATTGTACTGTCCCACGCCACTAATATCTGCCGAATCGGGCACAGGATCGATGCCTGTATAGTTTGCTGTTAAATAAAGAAAATGGTTATTGTTTTTTGAGGGATTAATCGTTTAAGTACGGTATGTTCATAAAGGATATGAATTACTTACCACTACGAAGTAAGGGTAACATTCCAGGATCGCCGGTAGGTGTGTGATACCAATCAGCGACAGTCATCACGTATTCATAATCGTACGCATTTTTATTAGGATCGTTGGGATCGTGGATAACTATGGGTCCCTTAAAGCATTGGAAAATTTGCTTGTTATCTTTCATGAATATAAATTTTGTGAATTAAGGTGTTGGGCTCTCTTTACCTTTAAGCCATCAACTAATTGGGTGCGGATGTGGGAGTGGTACCAATAAGTCCCGGATTGTTCAACAGTGAACACATATGTAAGGTTGGCTCTATTTGGAATTGGACACTGTGTGGTTCCAGGAACGCCATCGTACCAATTAGTACCCTTTTGGAAGATCCCGTGCCAGTGAACTTATAGTAAAAAAAAAATTGCAAATTGATTAGCGCACGTTGCAAGAATATCATCACGTGTTCATGCATACTTGTAGAAGGATCGCCAAGATGATTGATCACCGTGATGTTAAACGTGTCACCAATATTTGCACGGATCATTGGACCGGGATACCTTTAAAATAAATGTTTAAGTCCTACGTATTCGATTCCTAAAATTTATCGGTGAAAAGGAATACCTACTGTCCGTTCACAGACCATACTGGACGAACAAACCCGTCAGGAGCCAAATCAATCTTTATTAATTCGAAAGTGTAATAACGAGTTACGTTTTTAGGATACTCAGATAGAGGCGTAAAAGCTTCAAAGATATCGGTTCGGTAGAGTGACTCGAACGAATAATCATTCCTACTAGACAGCGGTGTTGTGGATCCTCTAAAGCTATAGAAAACCAAGCTGAAAAATATAAATAAAGGTTTAAACCTCATTGTTTTCTTTTTTTTTTTTTTAAAAAAAAAGCTCTTTTATAATTAATTAAGTAGAACGTAAATTCTGTGCATCAAAGAATCTGATAGAGAATTGTTTATCTCAAAAGGGAACGGTTGAAAATATGAAAAAAAGGCGCGCCCTTTTATATCGTCTTGTTAAAATACACTCACAATAAAAATTTCACCTAAGTGCTTATAATCTCGCGAAATTAACGCATCTTGTCACCACGTAATTATTTAATCAAAGATCTAATAAAATAAAAAAAAAAAAAACTTGCCTTATAAATTGATTCGAAACATTGTTTATAATGCGCGCGTAAATATTATCGAAGATTCTCCACCCGGTGTCTAGATTTTATATTAGAAAAATTAAAAGAATGATTCTAAAATTGCCCACTATAATGAAGTCACGTGTGTGATAAAAATAACTTCAAGAATCTTTTTTTGTTTCCTTAAACTAGTAAGGTTAGTTTCAGATGTTGATGAAACATGGTTTTATTAATTATCGAGAGATGATTTATTTAAAAACATGGCTCATTCAACAATTTTCATTAAAAAATAAAATGAATCTTTAGTATTCCTCGTAATTGTCTTGAGCAGCAATATTGAACCGAAAAAAAAAAAGAAAGAAATCCATGATTATTTTACCCTAGTGCAACGATAAATACTTATTTCACAATTATTTATGATGTACCAAAACAATGAAAATGTATGCGCCTACGGCGCAAAAATTATTATACAGTATTATTAAAAATCATTTCGGAGTGATTATTAAAAAGATCAATAAAATTATTATTGATACGTAGCATAGGTCAGGCTTGATTTCATTGGTTAAAAAAATGATTAACATTTATACGAATCAACTCATTCTATTGTTAAGGCACAATTGATAATTTTTTTCCCAACATGATATCCCTATGGTTTCTTACGTTATTTTATCGCCATGAAAAAACGTCTGAAAGGTAAATAATTAGATAGGAAATTATAGTTGATTCGTATAAATGTTAATATTTTTTTAACCAATGAAATCAAACTTGACCTATGCTGATGCATGCCCCTCGTCTCTCTCTATTATCGAGCTGTATTTGAATTTATTTTCTTCCAAAAATTTTATTTGGTCATAATATGTCACAATCAAAGATTTTGTTTCCAAAATATGCAGCCGCATTTGCATTGTTTTCGAGTGAAATTTCCGGATCGGTTGCATACAGATCGTCACGTAGTAAAATTCGAAATTTGTAAAAGTCCCGGTTTATTTTTAAAACTGCACGGAGTCAATATAATTTCAATATAACATAACTTAAATTTTAATATATTTAAATAGCAAGTATTTATAAATAAATTTTTAAAATTTAATATATTTTTATTAAAAAATCGAGAGTTCCATTAATAAATAAAAAAAAGTACTTTTATTTAAATTATTTTTATTTATATTTTTCTAAAGATTTATTATACAGTATTTTAAAATTGGTTAATAAAAAATTTTCACTTGTTTACAAAATAAATTTAACAATAGTTATATTAATATTATTTTCATTTGAATTAATGTTATTGAATATTTTATCATTATTTATTATAATCATAATCTAATAAATTAGCAAAATATATAATATAATAAAAGAAAAAAAATCTTTTTATTGATATTTTTTTTTGTAATAATTTTCTTAGAAAAAAAATAAAACTATTATAAAAATTATCAAACAAATTCTTCAATATTTTGAATAAAAAATTAAATAAATATCAACTATTTAAAATGTTAATATTTTTACAAATAAAAATTTTTAAGTAAAATATAAAACTAATTTATGAAAAAAAAAAACTTAACATTAACTCTTCTAACTTTTAATCAGATTAATATAAAGAAATATTTTTTTAAATAATAAAATAATAATTCTAATTAATTAACTATTTAAGGCTCAGAATCTATTAAATTTAAAATAATAAATAAGAATATGTTATTTACTTTTATATAAATATTTTTTGAGTGAGTACTTGCAACTAGACTAGATTATAGTTAATCAATTGAAAATATAAGTAAACTTTTATTCAAACAGTATAATATATACTATAGTTAAATATTAATATCAAATTTAATCAACTCATTCTAAGCAATAATAGCCTTTATCAGCAAGTTGATTACTAAATGTCCTATCAAATTACTGAAATATAGAAAACTACAAAAGAAATGGATTAAAAAAAAAATGATGTATCTGAAAATAACTATAGTTTATTACAAAAGTCTTTGAACTAATATTGCTTTGTAATTTTTATCCATAATTTAATAAACAATAAATAAAATAAAATAAAAATTTATATTTATATTGTTTAAAATATAGAAAATAAGATTATTTAAAAAATTATAAATATTCAATTTGAAAATAAAAAATTAATTTTTTATAATATCCAAATTTCTATTATAAATTATAAATGAAAAAAATTTATTGAAATTATTTTAATGAATAGATTTATTAAATAAAAACAAATAATTTAATGAAATAATTTTTTTATGATTTTTTTATCAACAAAAAAAAATTTTTATTAACTATAAATTAAATCAAATAGTTAATAATTTTTAAAATTTTATATAAATATTATAGTAAAATCAAAATTTTTTAAAATTTTAAAGAATTTTTAAAATTAATTTAATATAATTAAAAAATAATTTAATTGTAAAAAAATTATTTGCATTTAGTGAGAATTATTTGATATTTTTTTATACATTAAAAAATTTTTCTTGATTTTATAAATAATTTTTTATAAAAATTTATTATAGTAAAAATTGTATTTTTTACTATTTTATATATATAAATTTTATATATAAAATTTGTCAATAAATGATACCTATTTTTTTTTTTACTTCAAATTAATATTTTATAAAAAATTATTGATTAATAATTGACAAAACTTTAAATATATAATCATGATATTTTTATGATAAAAATATTAAGTCTTATTCTAATTTAATAATTATTTATTAAATTATAATAAAAAATATTAGTCCAAAGATTTTTGTAATAAACTGTAAATAGATTTACAAAAAAATAGAAAAAGAAAAAATAAATAAATTCTTTGGCTTTCTCCAAAAACTTGCTTTTCAGGATTTCTTCTTAATTAGAAATATCTAATTATAATATTTTTTCTTCTTTTAACTATCTGAGAAACTTATATATTCTTGATTTTAATTTTCTTCTTATGTACTATTTAAAGAGACTTATCATCTATTGCAAGTCTTTACTTTCATTTTTTTTTTTTTTATACCTGCGTCAAGTCAGTACAGTGTGTTTATTAATCATTAAGAAAACCAATGGAGATACATTGGACAATTATATCATGGCTAAACTAAATCTTATGCTGACTCACTTATCAACAGCTTTCAATTCTCAAATGAGCTTAAATCTCTAAGTGCAACCTTGGGGACAATATTTTACTCCAGAATAAGTTTTAAGTAAAGACCCTCCTAACTTATCAATTATTGCTAGCAGGTTGTCACTGTCAATTAGCTTTCAAGGAACTGATTTCGAGAAACTACAAAAGGGAAAAGGGAAAATAAAAGGAAAGGGATATTTAAAAATGCACAAATGTATGTATATAAAGAGAAAAAGAAAAAAAGAAATAAAATGTTCCATATTCTCCAAAGGACCTCTACTAAAAATCTCCTCTCATTAGGAGCCAACTCTTCTGGGATATTCTTCTTCTTTCTGACTATCTGAAGAACTTATCCATTCATGATCTTGATTATTTTTTTGCAACTATCTGAGGTACTTATTGCCTACTCAGATCCAATGCCTTGCTTATTGCTTTCTTTTTTTTAGTATTGATTTTTTATTAACCTGTGCAGACCTTAATGACTTATAGTGAATCTCAGGTTCTTATGTGGCCTTTCAGTCATATTGTGTAACTACCAATATCTTCCAGTAGCTACACCTAGTTAAAGGAATTTTACTGGTGAGCATCTTTCATTGCTCAAAAAATCAAGTTCCCCAACAGTCTTTTTGCCTTGTAATGGTAGGAGGGTCGTACTGAGTATGGGGATCCTCATCAATTATGATATTATTACACAATGTCTAGAAAAATGCATTCTTAATTCTAGAGAAGGGTAGTAGCTCATAGTCTTCTGCTTTTCAGTCTTATTGTCTGACTGGAATAAGGAAATAACCTCCTTCACATACTTTGACTAACTAGAATGATAAAAAGTTGAAGACCTCAGCTTAAATAAATAACTGCCTTTTCATCACCTAGGGAATTTAGTGCCTGTCCTAATAGTCTCATTATTTTTTTACTTTGGTTACATTTCATTTTGAGAAGTGGAGGATATGCACTAATAGATTCTCTTTCTTTCATCAATAATGTCATCAGAATATGTGAAGTGACCAGTAGGAACTTGTTTACATTCAGTTACTAATGTGTTTCATGTCCACCAATCATATTTTGCAATGTGTTGTGTCACCTAAAATTCAGGGTCAAACTGATGTAGACAAAATTTCCCAGAAAGCCAAAATTTTTGAGCGACTATAAGAGAGAAGATACAATAGGCAGACATCTTGAAATATGATTTGATGTTTGTCATCTCCCACTGCTAGAAACCTCTATAGATATGCTTCAATATGAAAGGCTTCAAATACTACACATTAGTTTTTCTTTCTTGCAGAACTTTCTTGCCATTGATAGAAAAGGTATTTCTTGACTTTTCTAGGTTACAGGAAGCCAAGTTTTTGTTTGAAAACGAATATAAACAAGAGAAAGGGTTTAGGAGTATCTTTTGAAGTAGAACTTCAAGTTGTTTTAAGGATAGTGTTAAGACTTTATTAGCAAAGAAATAAAAAAATTTCTTGCGAACATCTTTTTTGTATGTAGTCAAAAGATTAGCAGAAAGAGTTTTAACTATATCTTGCAAACCTTTACTTTCAGAAATATTATATATATTTAATATATATATTTAAATTTTTTTTCTTTAACAGGGGTTTATAGAGGCCCAGTTTTATTGAAGTTGTTAGCAATAAATTAGTGAGTACATATAAAATTACAGACTGAAGTAAAGGCTATATTACTTAGATGCTATAACTAGTACTATCTTTCCTTTACATAGTGGCTAAATGTTACAATAAACTCATTTGTCCTATTCAAGGACCCATGTGGCATGTTGCCGAAAGAAACCCTACTACCCTCCTTTCTACATTTAGACTCTTACCATGTATGCTTGCCTATCAGTTGGCTTGGACCTGAGATTCCTTTCATATCTCGTCCTGCTGAATATTCTTTTTATACTACCTATTACAGTATATCTACAAAATATTTATGTGGAGTCTTAGATGTCGTCTCATCCCATTTGAGTACCCTTTTTACATGTCTTATTACAGCCTACCTATGGAGTGACTATGTGGAGTCTTAGATGGATTGTCAAACTTTTTTAGTAGAGACCCTCTCTTATACTAATGTACCTAGGTACCATTAGTCCCTGAATTTTTTTGGCAAGTAGATCTTCAGCCTATCTACAGAAGCTTATTGGAACCTGTCTTGTGACAAGATGGCTTCAGTACTAAAACCAGTTGAAGTATCTTGTGATCTTTAGTTATCTCATAATTGAATGGAATCTTGACCACAGGTAGCAATGATTAACATTATGAGACAGATGAGATTTTTCTATACTACTTAAACTAGGTAATACTGCCTTGTAGTAGTATTGAACTCAGAAACAGTACTTGGTGACCTGGGAGCACTACCACTGTGCTATAGATTCACAGGTCTATATATATATTTAAATGTTAATGCAGCCTTGTTTTATTTATTATAATATATAGTTATATTAAAAGATTATATTTTTGAATCTATTTTGTTCTATTTATCTACTTACAAATAAAATTCAATAAAAAAATATTTCTTAAAGGAGCCTTTCACCTTGTAGCTTATTGTCAATCTATCTAAAAAGCTAATTTATCAAAGTTGAGCTAGTACTAAAAGAAATTTCAAAGATGTATAATAGTTTAACAATGTTATTTATCCAAGCATTTATGTAGCTATTTAATAATTTTATAAATTGACTTTTAATATGAAACTCTTTTTCTGTAAAATAAGTATCAAATATAGTTGTGCTATACTTGCCTACTCTGTCTTTTTTTCTGGTAATGTCTACTTTGCATTTTTATTCTTGAAACTATTCACATTTGCCAATTCATATTTTATAAAGATATTCTATATCTGGGTTTTTATGTCTATTATATATTGGATTTTAATGTACTTTTCTTTGTTAGCCTTCCTAATTTTGTAGAAAATTCTTTTAAAGATTGCATCTCTGATAAAGGCTTCAATATATAGTATGAAGTCTAGATTTAACCTTGCTATTGTGAAATTCCTGTTAGTTTCTTTCAACTTTTTCTTCTTATATATGTTTATACAGTTTACTATTATTTCTTTGATATATTGTTTCATTTTATTTCTTTTTGTTCTTGATAGATAAAGGAGTGGATACATATTTCAACTTTTCATACTATAGGTATAGTTATTATAATAAATTGTTAGTAATCTTTTATATAGTTTTGTTTTTATTGATAATTCATTGTTTCATAAACTTAGACTAAACCTTCTATATTTCTGATCTTCCCAATTTGTTATGTTTTTGCTTATTTTAGTGTACTACAAGTGGTTGGTTATTATTTTTCAGTAAATCTTTACTTTCAGAAATATATATGATCTCAACCTTCTTTAAATATAATTTTCTATCTATTTGTAATAAATAAGAGACTCATAATGTATTCTAGATTTATATATAACTTAATTGAATTAAGCAAACCTGATAGAAATCATAGATCATACAAGGCTCATAAGAACAA